AAGGGTGGAATGTTATGGATTGAATTGTGTCTCCTCCAAAATGTGTTGTAAATCCTAACCCCTATACTTGTGGTTATAATCTCATTTGGGAATGCGTTGTCTTTGTTATGTTAATGAGACAGTATTAGTGCAACATGTGTCTTAAGTCAACTCTTCTGAATATGAAAAGAGATTAAACAAGCAAGGGAGCAAGCAGGAAGAAAGGCAGTTCCACATCACATGAAGATCATCAAGTAGCCAAGGAACAGAAGCTGAAGAGACAAGGACATTCCTCCAGAGCCAACAGAGAGAGAAAGCCTTCCCCTAGAGCCAGCACCCTGAATTAGGACTTTTAGCCTCCTAAACAGTGAGAAAATGAATTTGTTTGTTAAAGCCACCCACTTGTGGTATTTCTGTTACAGCAGCACTAGGTAACTAAGACAAGGTCCTTTGTTTGGAACTGTCATATTTCAATAGGTACATTATGACTTTTATTTTAACTAGAAAAGAAAACAAGTATAATTATTTTATTAAAAATTATCTACAATAAATACATTTCTCAGAAAAGGAACTAGGTCATTCAATTATATTTACATTAAAAATAATGCCATTTCACTCATCACTATTTCAATGTCTTTTCTCTTCTTACATGCTACTAAGTCATTTTTAAACAGTTATTCTAATGTTAATGAGAATTGTCTAATGTCTAATGAAAATATTTTAAACTCAGAATTATATCTTAAATTCTAAAAATGAAAAGAAACCAGCTTATTCATTTAAATTTAAGAACACAGTAATATAAAATGGGATTTGCTTTTCATCTAACTCCAAAAATTTATCATGAACCAACACTACAGGCCTTAATACATGGCATTAACAGGATACAAACCATAACCATCAATGCACAAACCCCAATAGATAAGCTAGATAACTGGAATCTTCTAAAAATCAAACACCTATGCTCTTCAAAAGACTTCACCAAAAGAGTAAAAAGAGAACCTACAGACTGGGAAAAAACTTTTGGACAGTACAAGTCAGACAAAGGTCTAATCTCCATAATCTACAAGAAAATCCAACACCTCTACAACAAAAAGACAAATAATCCTATTAAAAAATGGGCAAAGGAAATGAACAGACGCTTCACCAAAGAAGACATTCATATGGCCAACAGACACATAAGGAAACTAGCCATTAGAGAAATGCAAATTAAAACCACAGTGAGATACCATCTCACCCCAACATTACTGGCACGAATCAAAAACACTGGAAATAACAAATGTTGAAGGGGCTGCAGGGAGATCGGAACTTTTATGCACTGCTGGTGGGAATGCAAAATGATACAACCATTTTGGAAAATGATACGGTGCTTCCTCAGAAAGCTAGAAATAAACATACCATTCGATCCAGAAATCCCACTCCTAGGAATATATCCTAGAGAAATAAGAGTCGTCACTCGAATAGACGTACGCACACCTATGTTCATGGCAGCATTGTTCACAATAGCAAAACGATGGAAACAACCTAGATGCCCATCAACAGCTGAATGGATAAACAAACTATGGTACATACACACAATGGAGTACTATGCAACGAGAAAGAACAATGATGAATCTGTGAAGCATCTCATAACATGGATGAAACTGGAGGACATTCTGCTGAGTGAAATAAGTCAATCACAAAAGGACAAATATTGTATGAGACCTCCATCATAAAAACCCATGAAAAAGTTCACACACAAAATGTAACAATCTTTGTTGGTTACCAGGGATGGGAGGGGTGGGGGGGGGAATACTAAATAGGCAATAGATAAGTGTTGTCTTGGGTGAAGGGTGAGACAGTACACAATACAGGGGAAACCAGCACAACTTGTACAAAGAAAGGTCATGGAAGCTCCATAGACACATCGAAACTCCCTGAGGGACTGAATTGCTGGGTGGAGGGCTGTGGGGACCATGGTCTTGGGGAGCATCTAGCTCAACTGGCATAGCGCAGTTTATGAGGGCAGGGTTCTGCATTCTGCCTTGGTGAGTAGCATCTGGGATCTCAGAGCCTGTGGGCAGCCATCTGGGATGCTCCGCTGGTCTTGTCCCTTTGGGAGCAGGGGAGAGTGGGGAGAGCAGGATATGGGGAGGGGATTGTCCGAAGGACTGATGGACCACAGCTGCCGGGGCCTCCATCGGACTGAGTCCAGTGCAGCTGGGTGGCCCGGCTACCACTGCTGACTGCTCTGACCGGGATCACGGCAGAGGGTTCTGGATGGGGCTGGAGGGGGATGTAGAACAAAATTCTAACTCACAAAGAAAGGACCAGATTTGCTGGCCTGAAGGAGACTGGAGAGACCCCGAGAGTGTGGAGCCCAGACACCCTTTTAGCTCAGTGGTGAGGTCATTTCCGGCGTTCGCCATTCAGCCGGGGAGTGGACAGCTGCATGGGACCAAATGGGACTGGTGGGGCACAGCAGTCAGGGGACAGGGGCTGGAGGGCCGAGGGGGACAGGAGGGCTGGTGGTAGGGAGCCCAAGGTTGAGTGAGGATAGTGTTGATGTGTTGTGGGATTGTTGGCCATTGTCGTGGGGCAACATGTGTACTAACTGTTGAGTGAGAAACTATTTTGTTCTGTGGGCCTTCATCTAGGGTGAGAGTGGCAGCACAATTGGAGGGGCGTGGTCGATGTCGCTGAACTGTGCATGTAGAGATTTTTAAGGTGGTGCGTCTTTGGCTAGGTGTATTTTCACCAAAAAAGAAAAGAAGAAAGAGGGTTGAGAAGGGAGAGGGTTGACGTGTTGTGGGGTTGTTGACCAATGTCATGGAACAATATGTGTACTGCTGGTTCATGAGAGGCTATTTGTTCTGTGGGCCTTCACCTGAAGTAAAGTAAAAAAAAAAAAAAAATTTATCATGAAAACATAATTCCTAGTCATAGTCTAGGATTTCCACATATTATTTTGTTGTTCATTGATTACCGTATTTTTATGCAAATAACGCATGCCTTCTTCATTTATTTGCCGGCCCTGCCCTCCCACCATGAGGCTCCATCACAAGCGCCGCCATGCCAATCCTCTTCCACACGTTGCTGTAAAAAAAAAATTGGCATTGCGAGCTTACAAAAATACCTCGCAGGAAGGGGGCCCTGCCAGCAAACAAATGCAGAAGGTGTGCGTTATTTGTAAAAAAAAAAAAAATTGGCATTTTGAGCTTACAAAAATACCTCACAGGAAGGAGGCCCGGCCAGCAAACAAATGGAGAAGGTGTGCGTTATTTGGTAAAAATACAGTATATGTTGGTATTCTCATTTAGTCTGTTATAAAGTGCCTAATCACTCAGCATAGTGTGATATTCCTGACCTGAATTTATAATTGCTAAAACTGGAACAGATGAAAACAAAAGCAAAGAACATTTAAAGCCCAAAATATTGCCTCTTAAGTCCTCAAGAGAGCAAAAGGGGAAAAACATGAAGGTTATTTATTTATTTGTGTTTTAAGTGAAAGTTTATAGCTCAAGTTAATTTCTCATACAAAAACTTATATACATATTATTATGTGACACTAGTTGCAATCCCTATAATGTGACAGTACACTCCCCCTCTCTACCCCGGGTTTCCCGTGTCCATCTAACCAGCTCCTGTCCCTTCCTGCCTTCTCCCATCCTGCCTCTAGAGAAGAGCCACCCATTTGGTCTTGTGTATCTGCTTGAACTAATAAGCACACTCTTCACGAGTATTATTTTATGTTTTATAGTCCAGTCTAATCTTAAGAGTAGGCTTCAGGAATGGTTTTAGTTCTGGATTAACAGAGCATCTGGGGGCCATGACTTTGGGGGTTCCTCCAGTCTCAGTCAGACAATTAAGTCTGGTCTTTTTATGTGAATTTGAGTTCTGCTCCACACTTTTCTCCTGCTCTGTCAGGGACTCTGCTGTGTTCCCTGTCAGGGCAGTCACTGGTGGTAGCCAGGCACGATCTAGTTCTTCCGGTCTGAGGCTGATGGAGTCTCCGTTTATGTGGCCATTTTGTCTCCTGGGCTAATATTTTCCTTGCGTCTTTGGTGTTCTTCATTCTCCTTGGCTCCAAGTGGGTTGAGACAAATTGATGCATCGTAGATGGCTGTTTGCAAGCTTTTAAGATCTCAGATACCACTCACCAAAGTGGGATGCAGAACATTTTCTTAATAAACTTTGTTATGCCAATTGACCTAGACGTCCCCTGAAACCATTGTCCCCAGACCCCAGCCCCAGCTACTCTGTCCCTCAAAGTGTTTGGTTGTATTCGGGAAACTTCTTAGCTTTTGGTTTAGTCCAGTTGTGCTGACTTCTCCTGTATTGTGTGTTGTCCTTCCTTTCACCTAAGATGATTCTTGTCTGTCTGGTTAGTGAATTCCCCTCTCCCTCCCCCCTACCCTTGTAACCATCAAAGAATGTTCCTTCTGTGTTTAAAGCTTTTCTTGAGTTCTTGTAATAGTGGTTTCATACAATATTTGTCCTTTTGCTACTGACTAATTTCACTCAGCATAATGCCCAGCGTGAAGGTTATTAATTAAAACAACAGACATTCTCCACTTTGTTCTTCATTTGAAGCCTCCCTTTTGACATGAGGTGCAGAAATAGGGTTGATAGTCCTGAGAGGGTCTCAACTGCTCAGTGGGAGCACTAGTCTCAGACCACATACTCCTGACTCTAACCAACTTCTGAGCATAATCTTCCCCATTCCATCTTTCTACTGTCACTTTCCATTGAAAGAGCCCTACTCAACGCCTTCAACATGTTAATACCTTTTAGGAGGCTTCCTTTTTCTCTAGGTAAAGTCAAACTTTCAAGAGGAGAGATATATGCCAAATTTCTGGATACTTCTTCGCTAGTATTTCAGATGCTCAAGTTTTCAACAGAGGAGATCAGGTTAATTAAGCAAGTGTACTTAACTATACCCTAAAGACAACACTTCTGTCCGCAAAACAGTAGCACACATCATCACACAGAGCTATTTGTGAACTGTATGGGTAACTAAAACACCAGGAGATCATGTCCATTACCTGAGTTGGGCTATGAAGACTTAAATCTAAACCACAAGTAAACTCTGTATGATGTTCCTCTGTTTCAAGAAGAGGATCAGGCTTTGAAAAGTTCCAGAATCTGTGAATATAAACAAAAATAAGTTGCTAAAACAAAAAGAAACTTATAATGAGAAAAGAGTTATTTGACATAGTAAAGATTAAAATAGGCTCAACCAATTCATAAATATACTGCCCACTACTAATCAACATAAAAAAGTTGTATAAAGAAGAAAATATACTATAACCTACTATATCAAAAAACGAAACAAAACAAAAAGGAATTATTAACCAATCTCAATCTACCCTTAAGAGGTAACTGTAGTCCCATTAGTATGCCTTGTGGGATGGAAGTTAAACAAGTTTTAGTGAAAATGCTTTTTAATATTGCACAAGGACATTTGAGATGAGAGAGACTATGCTTTTGCAGCAATTTCTAAAAGCGCTCACAGATGCAAAATAAGGATATTGGATTAGATGAACACTAACATTTTGTGATTTTAAATATTACTTCATTTCTCAACGTCTGACAGGAAAAGATCTTAGGTTTAATTTACATTTCAACAGGAATTCAAATTCTTTGAAAGGAATTTGTACTCTCATGAAAATCTCTAATTCTGAAACTATCTTTTTTTGAGGCACAGTCTTTCTTAAAGATTCTACATCAATGTAATTTCTAGAGTCAAAAAAAACAGAAATGTGTTTTCTTGGGCCAATATTAAGTATTCTGTTTACCCTCTATAGACTGAGAGTGATAATATTTACCAAAATATATCTCTGGTTGCTACTGTATAAAAAAGAATTTGGCCCTAGTTTCAATACACAAAACAGTACTTAATTTCTAAAGCTTTATATGCTCATCTTTTTCATCTGACTCTACACACGGAACAGACTGAAGGTTTAGCAGATCCCTTTGAAAGACAGTAAATACACAGAACCAATACTCACAGTCTGTTTAACCTGGTGATATTATTCCCCTAATAAATGCAGAGTGGGCCCTGTTAAGTTTTGAAAAGGATAGTTGCTATGGATAATGCATTGTACGTGAACCAGAGGGACAATGAATAAATAATTCATTTATCAGATTACTGAAATCTACAGACTATTTAGGGAAAATGATTTTACTTTTGAAAATTTACCTGTTCAAACAAATGAGGGGACAGGGTGTAGTCTTTCTCAGAACTCATAATAATAACGATCTCCACTATCTTTGCACATTTGTTCCTTCAGGTCTTTTTGTTTGGTACCATCTAGACGATTCCGACTCATAGTGACCCCGTGTGACAGAGGAGAACCGCCCCATGGGATTTTCAAGGATGTAACCTTTATGGGGGCAGACTTCCACATCTTCACCATGCACCTTCAGGTCTAGAGACAGTGAATTATACCAAAATCTAATTTTCTAGATCTTGATAACGTTTATATAAGCAAAAATAAACATGTTGTTGTTAGGTGCCATCGAGTCGGTTCCAACTCATAGCGACCCTATGTACAACAGAATGAAACAGTCCCCCTTCCTGCACCATCCTCACAATCCTGGTTATGCTTAAGCCCACTGTTGAAGCTACCAGGTCAATCCATCTCATAGAGGGCATTCCTCTTTTTTGCTGACTCTCTACTTTACCAAGCATGATGTCCTTCACCAGGGACTGGTCTCTCCTGACAACATGTCCAAAGTATGTGAGACGTAGTCTTGCCATCCTTGCTTCTAAGAAGCATTCTGATTGTACTTCTTCCAAGACAGATTTGTTCATTCTTTTGGCGGTCCATGGTGTATTCAATATTCATTGCCAACACCACAATTCAAAGGTGTCAATTCTTCTTCGGTCTTCTTTATTCATCGTCCAGTTTTTATGTGCATAGGAAGCGACTGAAAACACCATGGCTTGGGTCAGGCACACTGTAGTCTTCAAGGTGACATCTTTACTTTTCAACACTTTAAAGAGGTCTTTTGCAGCAGATCTGCCCAATTAAATGCGTCGTTTGATTTCTTGACTATTGCTTCCATGGGTGTTGATTGTGGATCCAAGTAAAATGAAATCCTTGACAACTTCAATCTTTTCCCCGTTTACTATGACGTTGCTTACTGGTCTAGTTGTGAAGATTTTTGTTTTCTTTATGTTAATGTGTAATGTGTACTGAAGGCTGTGGTCTTTGATCTTCATCAGTAAGTGCTTGAAGTCCTCTTCACTTTCAGCAAGCAAGGTTGTGTCATCTGCATATCGCATGCTGTTAATGAGTCTTCTCCAATCCTGATGTCCCGTTCTTCCTCATATAGTCCAGTTTCTCAGATTATTTGCTCAGCATACAGACTGAATAGTATGGTGAAAGGATACAACCCTGACGCACACCCTTCCTGACTTTAAACCACGCTGTATCCCCTTGTTCTGTTCCAAAGACTGCCTCTTCATCTATGTATAGGTTCCTCATGAGCACAATTAAGCATTCTGGAATTCCCATTCTTTCCAATGTTATCCATAATTTGTTATAATCCACACAGTTGAATGCCTTACCATAGTCAACAAAACACAGGTAAAAGTCTTTCTGGTATTCTCTGCTTTCAGCCAGGATCCATCTGACATCAGCAATGATATCCCTGGCTCCACATCCTCTTCTGAATCTGGCTTGAATTTCTGGCAGTTCCCTATCGATATACTACTGCAGCCACTTTTGAATGATCTTCAGCAAAATTTTACTTGTGTGTGATATTAATGATACTGTTCAATACTTTCTGCATTCAGTGGGATCACCCTTCTTGGGAATAGGCATAAATAGAGATCTCTTCCAGTCGGTTGGCCAGGTAGCTGTCTTCCTAATTTCTTGGCATAGACGAGTGAGTACTTCCAGCGCTGCATCTGTTTGTTGAAAATCTCAATAGGTATTCCATCAATTCCTGGAGCCTTGTTTTTCGCCAATGCCTTCAGTGCAGCTTGAACCTCTTCCTTCAGTACCATTGGTTCCTGCTCATATGGTATCTCCTGAAATGACTGAACACTGACCAATTCTTTTTGGTATAGTGACTCTGGTAGTCCTTCCATCTTCTTTTGATGCTTCCTGAGTTGTTTATAAACATGTAATTGTATAATTTAGTTTAGAAAAACATGGTTATTCATGGATTTGCATTATTGGAAACAATAATCAAATGATATTGTACATACTCATAATGTTCCAAAAAAATCTTCAAAATGGTTTAAAAATATATGTTTTATTATAGCAAAAAAAAAAAAAAGTGAGTTACAGAAAAATTAAGGATAGGAAAGTAAGTTGGAACCTGTAATGATACTGGGAAACAAAAATACATTGCACATAATTGTATGTGACTGACAGGGGAATATCTCAAGATACCAGGCTTTTTAGTAGCCAAAGGCAAGAGGGAGATACAATTAGGCCTGGAACTCATAGTGTCTATAACCAAATTGTTCTTGAAAAGCTTAGAAGGAAATTCTCCCTTAGGAGTTCACAGAGAAGAAACCCTATGCTTAAGTAATGAAGAATACCCTCAACATCTTTTAAGTAAAGACAGAGATGCTGTTTTGAGGGCTGCTGCTTATAAGTCAATGGCATCACCCCAGAGGGAAATTTAGTAGAATCATTCTACTGGAAGATCAATTTGATATAATCTGGGTATTCAATTCTCTGACTTAAATCAGGATTTAGATTTCATTTCAGTAGAATAAATGGGCTAACTATTCTGTAAGCAAACCACAAACGTTGGTTTCTTTTAGTAGAATGTTTTAAGAATAAACCAAACCAAACCTATTGACGTCAAGTCGATTTTGACTCATGGCAACCCTATAGGACAGAGTAGAACTGCCCCATAGGGTTTCCAAGGCTGTAATCTTTATGCAAGCAGACTGCTGTTTATCTTTCTCCCTCGCAGCAGCTAGTAGGTTCAAACCGCTGACCTTTCAGTTAGCAGCTGAGCCCTTTTAACCACTGTGCCACCAGGGCTTTCTTTAAGAATAAACAATGAGTATTTGTTCATACTCTCCTGAAAAGTTCCTAGAATACAGTTTTGATTTTGTTTTATTGTTGTTTTGGGCTAGTTAAGGGCAAAGCTGCACTGAGGACCAGACAGGCAGGCCTTATGAAAATCAGGATGCCTAACAAAGACACGTGGGTGAAAGTCATCCAACTTCAGCTTGAAAGTGTGATAACAGAAGTCACACATGCAGGATTCAAAAAAAGTAAATCTGGATTTGTTCTAATACACAGCTAAATGGGCAATCAAAAACCCACACAGTTCTACACTACTGAATCAATGGTATAATAATTTTAACCTGGGAAAAATGATGAAGTATTTATCTGCATTTTGCAAAAAAAATCATCAAACTAAAATGCACTAAAATTCTAAGGATACTATATAGTGGTGGGGGGAGGGTTAGTCTAGTGAGTGGCATAAAAACACTATTGGCCATTGTAACATTTCACAGCTCTGACAGAAATTATATAATATACAGAGTTTCTATTATGGTACAAAAATTATGAGAGTTCCATTTCCAGCAGTATGGCCAACTAGGTACCTAGACCAACATTCTTACCAAAAACATTGAAAAATCCTACATAAAACATAAAAACAAACAACAATAACCACAAAAACTTTATAAAATATGTATCAGTGAGCTAGTAAAAAAGCAAGGAACACTCAGATGAAAACTAAGTTGACAGCTGGAACCCAGAGCAGTGGAAGAACACTGAAACAGCTTTTGCCTTGAGAAGATTTACTAAACAGAGAGAACCTAAGCTTCAATCTTCTTAAACCTCAAGGAGATCAAGTGCCAGAAAAATCAATGTTAATATTTATAATTTAAAAATAATTTTCAGGGGTGACCTCACACCATCAAGAAAGCAGTGCCGGGAGCAGAGTGCGTCGTTTGGACTGGGGTCCCTGCACAGAGAAGCTCCTAGTCAGGAGGAACGCTGAAGAGAAGAACGCCAACAAAGAGAAAAAGCCTTCCCCTGGAGCTGACGCCCTGAATTTGGATTTTTAGCCTACTTTGACGATGAGGAAATAAACTTCTCTTCATTAAAACCATCCACTTGTGGTATTTCTGTTGTAGCAGCACTAGATAACTAAGACAG